TGCTGTTTACCGGATGTGGAAACCCATTTTCCTACCTTCTCTCCCAGGCCAGAGAAAGCCCACTTCCAGCCAGCCTGCCACAGGGGCTGGTTCTGGAAAGCAGCTGGGTGTAATGGCCAAGAGTCACAAAGATCTGAATTTAAACTGAGCCCTCCCACTTTCCAGCTAGGTGGCCATGGGCAAGTTACTTACCCTCTCTGAGCCCTGGCTTTCTTACCTGTGAAAGGGGAACAATTCCTCTCTCCATAAGGTTGAAAAGAGGTCGTGTGCAAGCCCTCAGCATGGTGCCTGGCATGTCGTAGGTGTTCAGCGAATAGCAGCTCTTCCTCCAACCTTAGGGGTTTCTAGCTTCTGCTTCATTATCACGTAGCTTCTCCCTTCTTCTATATTGTCTCCCCTTGGCCAGAGAGAGAGAGAGTCCTGACCTTTGCTTGTTTTTCTAGCACATACCCAGTGGGCATCCCAAGCCAACACGTGAGGTGGAACCCTAACCTGGGGGTCTTGGCAGATGACGTTGAACTTGGCTGGCCGAGGTGGGGAAGCAAGGAGACCAGACACAGTGTTCTTTTCTGCCCCGTGGGTGTGTCTTGCTGCCGTCACGTTGGTGCCCACAAGCACGGGAAGCGATTCCTGGTCCCCCCCAGAGCTGGCGCACTGGCCTTACCTCTGGCATTTGGGAGGCAGCTGTGAGGGGCAGAGGCTGACAGAGCCAGTCCTTGAGTGCACAGCTAGACCGGAGCTGGTCAGGGGGCCTCCTGTGTGTGAGTTCCAGGGGTTTTGGGCCTCTCAGGTAGCTGCACCTCCTGGCTGTGGTTCCAGCACCAGCTCGTGGCTGTGGCCAGAACCTGTGCTAGGCGGCTTCTGCAGTTCTGGGTGGACATGGGAACCCTGTCCAGCCACCTCCTTGGCCTGTGCACACGGTCAGGACAGCTTCAGCTGAATCAAAGCCCTGAGGTCCTCCTCAAGGGCTGGGGGTGGTAGGGGTGTGTGCAAAAGAGCGTGCCAGGGCCCCAGAGATGTGGAATGGCAGGGCCAACCCCACCTTTATTTTAATTTTAATTAATTAATTAATTAATTATTTTTTCCCACCTTTTTTTAAATGATGGAGTAAAGTCATAAAATAGAATACTTTATTTTTTTTTTATCACCCTTATATAGTAAAAGAAAAAGACTAGACTGTCACTCACTGCTGAACGGTGCTCCTATCACCCCTCAGAGCTATTCATCCACTCTTGCGCGTTGGGCCACCTTTTGGGGATCACCCTCCATCTTCCCTGGCTGCAAACCCTTTGGTGGGGTCTGTGTAACTGTCTCAGGTTCCATTTCCTTGATAATGTCGTCTTTCATCATGGTTCTTAAAAGCTGGTCTGCTGGGCCAGGATCGTGGGCAGACGGGTTCTTTATCTGGGTGCTCTGATGGTATTACTTCAGTGTCTCCCCTTGTCACTGTTGAAAACCTACTCCTAACCAGATGGCCCTTCCTTGGCAAGTGGCCCGTCCCCTCCTTTGCCGCCTGGAAGGTTTTCTCTTTGGCTGACATGAGCCACGGAGAGAAGATTCCCCCGAGACCGTGGCTCCCATCTCTCCCCAGGAATGGAGCAGCTGTGCTCAGTGGGACCAGAGAGACTTGAGGCCAGCAGAGGAGGCAGGTGGGAAGGTCGAATGGGGCTCATGGCGCCCAGAACTTTCTAACAGGCTGCACGTACATGTTGCTGAAAGTGTACAAGCGCAGGCTGGGAAGAAATTCCCCATCACATGAGGGGCTTGCCTCAGCTGCCCTGATTCCCACAGGCCTCGGGGCTCTCTTGATGCCTCCACATGACTCCTACTTTTCTCTCTCTTGCTCTGAACCTCTGTCCATCTCCTGTAAAGGGCCCATGACCTCCAGCAAGCCCTCTCTGACCCTTCCCACCCATGTGTACGCCATCTCCCTTTCCCCCAACCCCTGGGGTCTGGGTACACCAGTCACCTGAAGCATTTGGCCTCCAGATTATTTCAGAGTCCTGTGCTGTGCTGAGCAAGGTCCCTCCAGATGGCGTGTCCCTTACTGCTTGCTCCATATTGCATTTAGGCCAGTTCCGCGGGAGTGGGAGGTGGCATCAGGAGGTCCCACTCCCTCCCCACCAGTGTTGGACGCTCGGGCTCTGATTCTCCCTCCTGTTTAGAGAGGCAGCGGCCTCCTCCTCTGTCCCTCCGTGAGTACCTCCCAGTGTCTTGGGCTGAAGATGCCAGCTGTTGGAGCAGAAGTCACTGGAGGTTTTGGTGGGTGGGTTTGACCTGCTGAATGTGGGGACAGTAATGAAGGGTACGGCTGGATTCTGGCAGCAATCTGCCTGGCCTGCTTTGGAGAGAGACGGGGCAGGAAGACGATGGGCCTGAGAATTTCCAAATGCCCAGCGGCCCTGCAGATGCCTCCACCCAAGCATTCCAGGGACTGCTCTCTTTCCCTGCCCCGGGGCAGGTGGTGGGTTTACATGTGTCCATGTGGGGCGCAGATGTGGCTGTGTAGACCATGCCTTGCTTATCACCCCGTCTTTGGTCTGCATGTGTACAGGGCACATCAGGGAGGTCTGAGACGTTGACCGTAACCCATGGAGAAGGACGGCCATGTTCTGAGTTGGAGGGGCTGAGATGCGAAGGTTATTTAAGAGTAAAATTCTGTTGCAGGCTGATTATTAATTCAGCAGAACAGCAAAGAATTCTTAGGTTGGAATTCTGTTAGGGAGGAAATGTACGTGTGGCCGATTGGTCCCCCACCACATGTGGCCCCCCCCGCCTCCACCACAGTTCTCCTGGGATAAGTCAGGGGCACATAGATGGAGAAGGACATCATCTCCTTACACATTTGGGCACTACCGCCCCCGTGATGTGGGCTGGGGAGGGGAGGAGGGTGGAAGGAAGTGTCACTGCCCATTGGACTTTCTGTCATTCCCTATGCTGGGGTGTCAGGGGGCCTGCTGTGGACTTTGGTCTTAGTTGGGTCCAGACATGGGTGCCAGGTAGGCTCTGGTGGAAGGAAGCCTGACACAGGCTGCTCTAAAGTCTGCATGCTCATGACTTGGGGCAGCTTCCAGTTCTGGGGGAGTGGGTGGGGGCTCTGTGGTGCACACGGCTTCTGCTGCCAAGCTCTGCTGCCCAGCCTGCTCTGTCTTTGGCTGGCCCAGGAGCAGGCCTCCGGTCGCCTCCTGGCTTTCCTCTCCCTGTGGGAGTCTCATATATAGGGTTGGCAGCGCTGCTCCTCTCATTTGGTAGACAGCGGTCCCTTTGTGGGTTGTAGGCTGGTTTCTTTGCTCATGGGCTGAGGGGCACAGAGAGACGGAAGCGGTGAGAAGAGGGCCATGTATGAAACTCCATCCAGCCAGGGAAGACGTGTGGGTAGGAGTCAGAGGCTGGGATCCACTTCTGCCTCTCTGTTTGTGTGGCCCACTCATCGTTCCCAGATGTTGAGTTGGCATAAGATGTCCACATGCCAGCGCTATGACAGCCATGACGATCCCCATTCTACAGAAACAGAAACAGAGGTCCTCAGGAGTTGCCTAATGTACCTCGAGCCACCCGGCATCCAGGGCAGAGGTGGGATTTGAACTCAGGACCCTGGCCCCAGTAGCTGCATTATGTAACCATTGCCGTATGCTGATGCTGACTTGCTGAGCAAGCCACTCCTCTCTGGGGTTATGGCCAACTAGGCAATTAGTTATATAAGTTGTGGCCCATCACGTGCAGACGTCGCAGATGATGCTTTTAAACATACCGAATAATGTTTCATGAAACGAGCAACATGTAAACAGTATATTTGGTATGATTGCTGTTTTGTGAAATGAGCCCAATGCACATACACACACATGGCAAGCAGCGTGCTAACTGTGGTTATCATACATCGATCTGGCTGATGGTAGATTTTTTTCTTTCACCTTTTTTAGACTCTTCAAAGTTTATAGGGTGAAATGTTTTATATTCAGAAAATAAGTTAGTTAAAACAAAAAAGCTGAGGAGCACCTGGGTGGCTCAGTCAGTTAAGCATCTGCCTTTGGCTCAGGTCATGATCCCAGAGTCCTGGGATGGAGTCCTGGTCAATCAAGCTCCCTGCTCAGTGGGAAGCCTGCTTCTCCCTCTTTCTCTCTTTGCCCCTCCCCCTGGTTGTGCTCATGCTCTCTCTCTCTCTCTAATACATAAATAAAACCTTTTTTAAAAGCTGGAATTATTCAAGGGGCATCCTCAGGAGATGGGCTCTTGGGGGTGGGGGTGAGCTCCCTGTCCTTGGGTGTGGATAGGCAGAGGTTTATCTGTCTGTCATGGAATCTCTTCTGGGGTCTCCTGATTAGGGGGGTGGGGAGGACAGCATTCTTTGGTGGGCTGTGTGTGGCATTGCCCCACAGTTCCTGGGCCTGTGGGAGAAGGGAGTTCTCCAATGCCATCCTCCTCAAACTTGACCATGGCTGAGAATCACTGGGGCTTGTGGTCATATTGCAGACTTTGACTTGGGAGGTGGGCCTGAGACTCTGCATTTCTAAGGCCCTTGGATTTGTCCTGGAAAAGTTCCCTGGGCACCACAGAGCAGCGCCAGGGGCATCGGCCAGATGATTCCAGTGGCAACTGGAGAGGTACACAGGGATGTGAGGATGAGCAGCTGGGGACAGATATTTGTGGAACGACTCGTCCAAGCCATGGAAAGATGAATCTTAGAGGGCTGAATTTGAGGCCAGGTCCCCTCACGCTTGGCTTCATGGAGAGAGAGCATAGGTGGAGCCAGCTGGGCCAGGATTTGAATCCTAACTTCGCAGCTTCTTAGCTGCGTGCCCCGGGAAGGCCTTTTTTGCCTCCCTGCCTCAGTTTCTTCATCGGTTCAGTAGGGATAAGAATGGCTGCCTTGCTAAGGCCATGTTGAGGATGAATCCAGATAGCATGGTTATTCCCTGGTGCCTGGCTCAGACCTGCTGTGTGGTAGGCTCTTAACACACATTTGCTTCCCCTAAAAGCACATGCTCTTTTCCTCCTTGCAGGTAGATGAGATTTACCATGATGAGTCTCTGGGCACCCACATAAACATCGCGCTGGTCCGCTTGATCATGGTCGGCTACCGACAGGTAACCTTTCCTCACCAACAGGCAGGAGTTGGAGGAAGAAGGGGTGTGGAGCCGATGCATCGCACTGGCTGTGGGATGGCGTGGGGTTGGTTAGCGTTCAGGAAGCATTTTGTTTCCACGATCAGAATCCTGAGACCATTATAACCAAGGCTTCAGGGAAGAGGCATTTGGGGATGTTAAGTAAGAACTGGGAGATTCCCTCCAAAGTAGTAAGTGGACTGTCCTGCAACCTTGCAGCTGGAGAGCCCTCTCCTTGAGGAATCCAGGTGGAGATGGGCTCAGGGTGGGGCAGTGGCTGAGACAAGCCCTGCTCTGGTTGGATGCTGCAGCCCTGGGCTCTGCAATCTTAGACTCTTCTTTTCCCTGAAATGGGGTAGCAACAGGACTTGCCTTCAGGGGCTTTTGTGAGGATTACCTGAGACGGTGGTAAAGCATAGAAGTGCTCAGCAAGTCAGTTGAGGGATGAGAGAGAGGATGCGTGTTGAGGTCTCAGGCTTCAGGTGTCCTGGCACAGGGCCTGGAGCGTGACCTCTCCCTAAAGTGGGAGGTCTATGTGCTGGAGGGCTGGAGTCAGGACTATTGAGGACCCAGGGACCCTTGGGCCTCAGTGTCCTCTGCCAGTGGGAGGGGAGTGGTGGGTGCCCCCTACGGTCTGGCGGCTCTGGCGATCACCCCTCTGTTGATGTTCTTGGCCCCCAGTCTCTGAGCCTGATCGAGCGTGGGAACCCCTCTCGCAGCCTGGAGCAGGTGTGTCGCTGGGCGCACTCTCAGCAGCGCCAGGACCCCAGCCACGCAGAGCACCATGACCATGTCGTCTTCCTCACCCGGCAGGACTTCGGGCCCTCAGGTATGCAAGGTACTGTATTAGCTGTGGCCGGGGGTGAGCAGCTGCAGGCAGAGGCCGAGGTCCGGGGCTGGGCTCTCTGGAGCCACTCCAAGGAGGTTTGAGGGGCAAGGGCCTCTGTCAACAGAGTCATGGGACTCTGGAGATGGGACCTGGCCAGACAGGTGGCCAAGCTTGAATTGGTTTCTTGGGGACCAGGGGAAGTGAATGGTCCCTGCTGTCTTGGTTGAGCCCACGAGTGGCTGTGAATGGAGTGTGTTTGTTGACCAACTGACTGGCTGGCTGGGGGGTTGCGGCGTGGAAGTTGGCGGTGCACAGGCTCGGGGCATCTGGAAGTCTCACTGTCTTGATTAGAGGAAAGGCTGACAAGCATAGAAACTGCAGAGGCCCCGAGGGGAGCTGAAGAGGGTTAGGATGTGGGAGCCTTGGGCTCAGGTTGCTCTACTGTTGGGAGGGGGTTGGACTTTGCAAACATCCTTCTTCCTCCAAGCCCTCTCTGGCAGTGACCATGTCAGCATGTCCCTACGGTGGCTTGCTGGACACAGACCTCATTGAGTCCTTCACCTTCCTATGACCTCTCTGTGCCCTCTCTCCCTGGCAGGGTATGCGCCTGTGACTGGCATGTGCCACCCCCTGAGAAGCTGTACCCTCAACCACGAGGATGGCTTCTCCTCAGCCTTTGTGGTGGCCCACGAGACTGGCCATGTGTAAGTGTGTGCAAGTGGCACCCAGGACGGTGGGCCGTGCTGGGAGCTCCAAGGAGTCCTGTGGGTGTGAGGGGCTTAAACCCAGATCAGGCCCCCGTCCCAGAGTCCCGGGAGATGCCAGAGGAGATGCCCAAGTACTGATGCCCAGCCCTGATGGGGAGGGAGCCCAGGGGCCCAGATGGCAGATCTGGGCCTGCCTGGGGTACAGCCCCCAAATCCCAGGGCCGTGGAGAACCTGATGTGGCCCTGCCTTTGGGCAGGTCGGTGCAGCGTCCCATCAGAGGAGGTGGTCTGTTTCCTGGGTGACCTCTGTCCCTTATCCCATCCACAACCTGAGGCCCTTCCGAGAGCCGTTCCAGCCCACACCACTGCTCAGGACACGCTGGAGCGCTGGCCTGCGCCCATCGGAGACAGGCGCTCATGGGCTTAGGCCTCGGGCCAGGCTGGCAGCTGGCGTGCTTGATCTTTGGGCCTGGATTTTGTTTAGAACACATCCATTCATTCATTCAACCACTATTCCTTGAGCACCTACTGTGTGCCAGGCCGTGTTGTAGGTACGGACTGCAGGGGGGAGTAGGCCGGGGGGCTACGTTCCCGGAGAAAGCAAGTGAGCCACGGTCATCCAGGTTGTCCTTTGGTGACGTGCACAGGCTGCAGTCGTGCCTCCTGGCCTCGTCTGCTCCCTGGGCAGAACCGAGGGTCGCACTCCTGGGCCCCCAGCATGTGCGCACACACACAGTGAGGGCTCTTTCCTGCAGGGGGAAGGACCTGGGAAGGAGTGGGGTGGGCCGGCCCGGAGGGAGCCTGCCACCTGCTGTGGGCCGCCCCCCTGTCCTTGCCAGCTCTGTCAGTGCAGGAGGCCCCTGTGGACCTCATGCTAGCTCTGTCCCTCAGGGGCCCCCCGGCTTCCTCCTCTACAACGTGGAGGCTGACATACGGGACCCCTCAGGGGTCCCTTCCTTTCCCAGAAGCCCCTGGTTCCACATACTTCAGAGTCAGGAGTTTGTCCTCCTGTGTGTGGCAGGTGGGGATGGGGGGGTGAGGGTGGTGTCCACTCCTCGCAGAGCAGAGCCTTCTGTGGAGAGACCAGGACAGCCTTAGAGGTCTGTGCGTCTGTCTGGTGGTCAAGGCCAGATGCGGCCACTTGGGAGTATTTGAGAATTTACAACCTCTGGGCTTTGACATTAAATATTAATGATAAGAAACAGATGTTACAATTTGAACTTTGTCACGGGGTGGGTGCGTACCATGCACAAAGCTCTGTGCTCTGTACCTCGGGGTCTCGGAGAAGCTTAAAAGTTGGCACGTGGACACACTCAGTAAATGAGGTTGAATTGGACTAAACGAGACCTGGTCCTTGCACCTGCAGGCCTTGGGCCTGGTGGGGAGACGTGTATGGCGTGCGCGTTGTTAATAGGTGGCCCCTGCTGTGGGAGGTCAGCCCTTGGGTCAGGGGTGGCCAGGGAGGGTGTCTGGGCTGGGAGTGGGGCTTGAGCTGGCCTTGGAAACTGAGGATGTGGGTGGGATGGAGGAGGGGGCAGGAGGGCAGAATGGAACCAGCCCTCCTGGGAAGCAGGGTGGGGCCTCAGCATCCACTCAGAGGGGTGGTCCTTCCTCCTGCATGGTGGGGAAACTGAGGCCCCGAGAAACAGTCAGAAGCCTGGTCGGTGCATGCTTTCCTATTGCTGGCCCACCTGCCTGTTTTCACAGGGACGGGCTCCCTGGCGTGACTCCAGCTCCCTTCTGTACCCCACCCCCGTCCTCTAGGCTCGGCATGGAGCACGACGGTCAGGGGAATGGCTGTGCAGACGAGACCAGCCTGGGCAGCGTCATGGCACCCCTGGTGCAGGCTGCCTTCCACCGTTTCCACTGGTCCCGCTGCAGCAAAGTGGAGCTCAGCCGCTACCTCCCGTAGGTCACCTCCGGCTCCGGGCTGGGGACAGGGGAGCATGCAGCCTGCCACTCCATCCCCCACTCCCAGCCATCTTCTCTCCGGTACCACCCTGTCCCTGACACATGCTCAGCTCCCAGCTTTGCTGCTTGGCTCCTGGGTCTCCAGGGATGTTGAGGCCCAGGATAAGCTTTAGACTCTGAAGCTCAAGGCCAAGAATGGGTGCAGAGTGGATTTGGGTGGGGGCAGGTATAGCAGAGACACTGTCACTAGCATCATGGGGCAGCCAGCCAGGGCCCCCAGAGTATGTCCTGCGTGGCAGGCTGACTTTCCTTCCCTTAGTGCAGTGAGCCCTCGGGAACCATCCCTTCCTCCCAGGAAGACACAGCTCCTAGCAGAGGGTAGCAGGGGCTGATTCCTGCAGGCCATCTTTGCTCCTTAAACCCCCAGCTCTGGAAAAAGAGAAGCGTGGGAACCCCTGCCTCAGCCTGGCTCTCCTTCTTGTCTCCACCTGCAGCTCCTACGACTGCCTCCTCGATGACCCCTTTGCGCCTGCTTGGCCCCGGCCCCCAGAGCTGCCGGGCATTGACTACTCGATGGACGAGCAATGCCGCTTTGACTTCGGCTCTGGATACCACACCTGTTCTGCGGTGAGTTCCCAGCAGCCTCTGCCTGCTGGGGTGCCAGGGCCATGTCCTTCTGTGACCCAGGCTGGGCATCCACAGAGCTCCTTCCTCCCAGCTGGCCGGGTGGCCTGGTGATGGGCTCACAGCCTGATGCCACCTGCCATGGGGGAATGCAGGGTGACCAGAGCCCGGCCCTGCCACCTTCTGCTGCATACCTGCCCCACCTAGTCCCACCTTTGGAGGCAGGTGTATGCAGTGGCTGGAGGATGCTTTAGTCCTGGGAAAGATGGAACAGAGTAGAAGAGAGAGGGCAGGTGGCTGATGGGATCCTGGCTGGACTGCTTCCTGGGGAGCTTATCTGCCTGGTGGTCCTTCTGTCAGGTGTTGGACTCTGGCCCAATGGAGGAATAGTTGCCCCTATCTGCTCTTCAGGGATCTGACAGGATGTTTTGGACTGATTTGTCACCCTAGTGGAAATCTCTTGTGTCCTCCCATTTTCTCTCTCCAGGGGGTCAATTGCATGCTCCTCCTACCCCATGCCTAGGAGACAGATCCAAGGGAGCATAGCCCTTCCTTGCCCTGCAGGACAGGGCAGGGGAGAGCCTGGCGCTGGGGGTGGGCTCGAGACCCCCAGGAGAGGACCTCACAGGTCCCAGGCACAGGCTCACATCCGGGGTCATGGGTCTTTCTGAAGGGTCAGGCCTTGGGGACTCGAGTGCTTCAAACCTCCCATTCAGGAATGCAGCCCCCTCCTCAGATCTGCAGGACCAGGAGTGCCAGTGTACGGTCACCTTCCTACTGCCCAGGCCACGCTGGGACACATAGTTTCTGAGCTGGGGCTGGAGAAACAGCTTGGGATGTGGGATTTCAATGCCCGAGGCTGTATCTGTAGGACACTGGTCTGGCTGGTGGGGGATGATAGGAGAGAGAACAACCTGGAGCTCTCCTGGACAGTGTGAGACAGGATGTCACCAAGCTCTGGCACAGCCTGGGGAGACCAGAGTGGGGTGGGGGTCCTGACCTCACCTGGGTGCATTGGAGTCTGGGCTAAACCGGCAGCCCCTTGAGGGCCCTGATGTGCACTGGGCTCGAGGGGCATTAGCAGGCCCAGGCATCCCCAGAGCCTCCAACCCTGGTCCCTGCCCAGTGGCACAGTTTCTTCTGCAGACTCAGGGAGGGAGGAGGGCCTGGGGAAGCAACAGGGGGTGTGTGGGCAGTGGCCTGCCCCTTCTTGGTGCCCTGCTGGAGAGAGGAGGGGGTCCCTGGAGGCCACGGGGACTTGGAGTGGGGTCCAGCTTGAGGGTGTGGACCCTCTTGCCTCCCCCCACCATGTCCTGGCCCCAGTGTCCACATCTTCCTCTCTCTCCCTCTGGACGAATTGTGCCCAGTGACCACTTTCCTCTTACCACACAGTTCCAGACCTTCGAGCCCTGTAAGCAGCTATGGTGCAGCCACCCTGACAACCCATACTTCTGCAAGACCAAGAAGGGGCCCCCCTTGGACGGGACCGAGTGTGCACCCGGCCAGGTACCTGTGGGCCCGGGGCTGCAGCAGGACTGTGCAGGCTCCCAGGGAGCCCGTGTCCCCCAGCCGTGTGTGCAGCTGGTGTGCAGAGTCCCCCCATAATCTCATATGTTTGCACCCTCTCTCCCATACCACAATCCCTTGCTTCCTCCATTTGCAGAGCTTGGCATGATCTCCTAGCCCATCTGGCAGGAAGGCCTATTCCCATTTTACAGATGAGAAGAATGAGGCCCAGGCAGGTGAAGGAACTTGTGGAGTCAAAAAAGGGGTGAAGGGAGACCCCAGGTGTCCTGCCTGCCCTCCCTGGCCTGCTGTGCTATTTCTCCCACATCCACACCTGTTGCCTCCCCTGCCCCAGACACACGCTTTCACATATTTGCTGTTGTGCGTTTCCCCCCGGAGTGTGTGTGGGTGCCAGGGCTTCATTTGTCAGGGGGGCCTCATAGCCGGGTGTGAGAGCCCTGACCTGGGGTCTGTAACCGACCTCTGCTCTATTGCTAGCCCCGAGCCTGACCTCTGTGGTGCCCTTGGGCCATTCACAGCACTCCTCCAGGTCCTGCTGACCCCTGACCAAGTGGCCTTTCCATTCCTCAGAGTTCTGAAGTCATGTCAGAGCAGAGAGCTCTGGGAAGAAGCAGGGTGTTGTGAGGCTTGAGGCTTACTCAGCATCAGCTCTGAGCCCAGTCGTGGGACCTGCCTGTCCCTGTCCCCTGCCCCCTAGCTTGCCCCCTGTCCTTGCCCCCTGCCCTCTGCCCCTGCCTTCTGTCCCTGCCCTCTGCCCCTGCCAGGCTTCATCCACTCAACACATGTGGGGGCGCTGCTCCTTCACAGATGGATGGGGCTTCCCACGGCCTTGCACAGGGCCCAGTAGGCTCCACATCTGGCGGGCTCTTATCCTGGACAACTCGGTATACCTGCTTCAGGTTATTTCCAGAGTTCCAGGTCCTTCCGTCACAATTTTACATGACAATTAATTCATGGCTCGCAGTTTTGGCTGCATTTTGGAACCATCTGGGGAACTTTAAAAGCCCCCACTGCCCCAGGGCAGGGAGTGACTGCAGATGGGCACGAGAGACCTCTTTGGGGTGATGGAAATGGTCTAAAATTAGATGTGATGACAGTTGCACAATGCTGTAAATTGTGAAAAGTCATTGACTTGCACACTTGACCTGAGTGAATTTTATGGTATGTATAGTACTGCTGCTTTAATTTTTTTTAAAGATTTTATTTATTTATTCATGAGAGACACAGAGAGAGGCAGAGGGAGAAGCAGGCTCCATGCAGGGAGTCCGACATGGGACTCAATCCCAGGTCCCCAGGATCAGGCCCTGGGCTGAAGGCGGTGCTAAACCACTGAGCGACCCGGGCTGCCAGTACTGCTGCTTTTTTAAAAAATCCCTCCCCCTAGAGATTATGACTCAGTTGGTCTGAGATGAAGTCAAGGCATCTAGAGTTTTAAAAGTCTCCAGGGCTGAGAACCACTCCGTCACCTCTTAAATAAGACCCACGGAGCTTTGCTGTATTTCTTACATGATGCCCTGCAGGAGAAGGGAAGGGAGTTACTTGGGTTGAGCCTGCCTTGGTGCCTGGCCCTGAGCTAAGGCCTTTGTAGGTGTTCTTGCTTCCAGTTCTTAGAACAGTCCTATTTAACAGGTGAGCAAGCAGAGGCCCAGCAAGGTGACATTATGCCAAAGCCGCACACAGCTAGTAATGGCTGAACTGGGATTCAAACCCTGGCCTTGTGGATTCCATTCATATACTCCCTCCATTTATGCGTGGATAGACCCCCCTGTGGGGCTAGGGCTTGCTTCCCACAGACACGCCTGCCTGTGGCCCCAGGATGGGGATTTTGAGGTACAGAGCCAAGATATCGACTCTAGATGGCATGGGAAGATTGTGTCTTCTACCCCCCATCAGCTCTTTTTTCCCTCCAGGAGGGGTAAACCAAATAACTGCAGTTAGTGCCGTCATTGGCTGCCAGTTTGGAGGGCTGCGTGTGCCAAGCATGATCTCCTTGGGGGCTCCCAGCAGCCCCGTGGGCAGGTGCTATCACCACATTGTACAGTGGAGGGATGGGCTCAGAAAGGGGGACCCTTTGCTGAAGGTCACTCAGCTCAGGGTAGAGGTGGCTTCTGCGAAACCTCAAGGCTTGTACTCTTAGTGTCCCTCCCTCTGGACTCAGCTGTGGTGCCCACCAGCTGTGCCATGTGCACAGTCGGGGCATCTCCATAGCAGGCTGGGCAGCAGTGGCCCTCAGGTAACCTCGTTCCCTCTGCTCCATCCCAGTGGTGCTTCAAGGGTCACTGCATCTGGAAATCGCTGGAGCTGACTTACGGCCAGGATGGAGGCTGGAGCTCCTGGACCAAGTTCGGGTCATGTTCACGGTCGTGTGGGGGCGGGGTTCGATCCCGCAGCCGGAGCTGTGACAATCCCCCGTGAGTGCTCTTGGCTGAGTTGGGCAGGGCAGGGGACCCCCCCCAAACCCTAGGCCTGAGGGGCTGGGAGAGGAAGCCATGGGGGGAGGAGGCTGGGCACTAGAGACAACGGCCCTAAAGCTGGGTTTGTATTCTAAGGGTGAGAACCCCGAATTGTTGGGAGGTGGGGCTGGATCACTTCCACCCAGGCCTGACATGGCCCATCAGGCGGGGCATCCGAGAATATGTCTGAACCAGTGATTCTCCAACCCTCATGCACAGAAGATTCTGAGTGGGCCCGGGACTCTGCTAATTTAACACGTCTGCCCGTGACCCTGATCCTCTGGCCGAGCTTTGAGAAAACCTTGATCTAAATGCTCAGTAGTCATGTTTGTTTTCTTACCACATGGAGCAGAATTTCCATTAATTTTTTCTTAACTTACCTTTTTTAAAAAAAATTTTATTCATGAGAGACAGGCAGAGACACAGGCAGAGGGAGAAGCAGGCTCCATGCAGGGAGCCTGATGTGGGACTTGATCCCAGGACCCCGGGATCATGCCCTGAGCTGAAGGCAGATGCTCAACCACTGAGCCACACAGGTGCCCCTACTTCCCTCTTTCTGACATCAAATCCTGCCTTTCACTGCCCCACTCACATTCCCCCAGCATTCTGGGGGAGCATCTGTTTCTCTCCTTTTATTCCCTCCTATGGTTTTGAAACTTCCAAGTGCCAGCTGGCTGTGGTCTCCCTCTCTCAGGCTGAAGTGACCTGGTCAGAATAGCCTCAGGCTAGATGGGGGCTGGTGGGGTGGCCGGGTGGGTCAGTGGGCTCCAGGAACCAGGGGTGCCCAGCCTCTACAGAACAGCAGGGCCCTTGGATGCTGTGGCTTGGTAGTGGCTGCCCTCCTTTGCATCCTCAGCAGGGGCCCTCCATCCTCTGTTGTTTACCTCCACGGATGGGAAGCTCACCACCACTTGGAGCAGCCATTCCTTTGTCCACTGGCTGTGCTGACCTTTTACAGACATGAGCCCAAATGCACGGCCCTATAACTTCCACCTGTTGGGAGTGTGACAGCCTGGGCTGGAGAAGGGCCCAGTGGGGCCTACTCTGAGTAAGCCACCTTCCAGTCAAGACGGATGGCTCTCCCCTTGACCAAAGCTGCCATCCAGCAAACTCCTCCATAATAAGAATTTTTTATTTTATGAGGCTTAAGTGAAATAATATGTGTACTCTCAGCGCTCTGCCCAGGCCAGATTTAGCGCTAATGAATGGCAGCTGCTGTTATAATTGTTAGCGTGGATCGAGCTCGCTGTCCATGCCAGGTGGGACACTGAGCACTTCAGCGCACACACCCATGAGATGCTCCCGGGTCTGGGAGCAGAGTACCGGGAGCCTGTGCTTCATAGTTTGCATCCATAATCCCACCCAGTCCTCTCCCTAATGGAGAAGAGAATACAGATTGCTTTAAATACCTTTTTTTATTTATTCTTCACAGACACACCAGGAGGTAGGTAAGGGAAGAGGTATCCCGGTGTCACCTTTAAAGGGGAAATTAAGGCTCAGCAAGACTAAATGACCTACCTGAGATCTGCATAGGCAGGGCTTGGGGGCAGAGCCAGCGGGGGCCTTCTCACTCCAGATCCGTGTCTCTCTTTACCCCTCCTTAGTTTATTATGACGTGAAGCAGAAGCGGATGCAAATCAGAATTGTTGAGGCACGTTTTGAGTGCCTACGGTATGCCAGGCCCTGTGCGGTGGTTGAAAGCGTTCGCAAAGATGAATAAGACTGCTTTCTCTTGCAGCCCCATCGGAGTGACTTAGTCATCCTTGTCCCTGACACCACTCGTCCCCCGCCTGCCCTGTTTCTCGGCTCTCCCCCTCTCCCCTCCACACACACGCACACACGGTGGGACAGGTGACATATGCCCAAGGGGTGGGTGGAGCAAGAGGAATCTAGAAGGGCTGTGTGCACAGCAGCCCCCACCATGGGGGTCCCTCTCTAGTTTATAAGTTAGAAGAGCCTCTTTATGTTCCTCTAAAAGGCTGAGCTGCCCCCAAGCGGCCATGAGGGAAGCCTGGCCCTCCCCAGCCTTCCAGCAAGTCACTGGTCTCTCTGTGCCTGCCCCAGCCCAGCCTACGGAGGCCGCCTGTGTTCCGGGCCCATGTTCCAATACCAGGTGTGCAACAGCGAGGAGTGTCCGGGGCCCTACGAGGACTTCCGGGCCCAGCAGTGTGCCAAGCGCAACTCCTACTACATCCACCAGAATGCCAAGCACAGCTGGATCCCCTACGAGCCTGAAGATGGTGAGTGGGTCCTGCCTCTGCCCCCACCCACTGTGTCCTTGGGCATCTGCTGTGTCTGTGTCTTCCTCCCATGCCTGGGGCCACCAGCGGAGGTTGGAGGGACAGTAGGGTGCCAAAACAGACATGTGGTTGGCAGGCTTGCCACATACCTTTGTGCAGGCCCTTGTCTTGTGTGCCATGGGGCCAGCTGTCCTCATTAAAGCCATCCCTGATTTGTATACGTATGAGGACTGTTTTCTGACAAGGAAAATATCTTGAACCAGGGGCTTTTCACCCAGAGGTGCCCAGAGGCTGGCAGCAGTGCTGGCTGTTGAGGTCGGTGCCTCTTACACCGGTCCTTACCTGTATGGGAAGACACTATGCAGGTGGAGGTGCCCTGGCTCTGTGTAGCCACCGTCCTGAGAGGCTCTGTCCTATTACACACAGCATTTTTAGGTTTTACTGACAGTGCTACTGTTTTAGTGTTAATGAAAAGGAGTTAAAAGGCAGGCAGATGAGAGCCTCTGGGATCCTTATACTGACTCCCTTCAGGCTGCTCTGGGGCAGACACGGGCCTCAGGACTCAGGCAGGGGAACTGAATTTTGAGACCAAGTGCCAGGGCCAGTACCAGTCTGCTCTGGAGGCTTCCCACTGATGGCTCTCCTAGTGGCAGAGAAGAAGCGGCCAATGAAGGGTTGGGATTCACGGCATCTTAGGGATTTCAGACTGGAAGGGCCCTCAGCAGTCCTCTGTGTCCACTTCCCCTGCCTGTCTCTCCGCCACCCTTTGCTGGACAGATGCTCAACCCCCACCATGCAGCCCTCAGCCTCGGATGGCACTTACTAGAAAGGCCTGTTCTCTCCTGAGCCCAGGGCCACCTCTTTGTAGCCCTGGTTCCAAAGTATTAATTGCAAGACGCTTGGTTGTTCAATTCACATTTAGAATGACAATCTTCAGGTTGGAAGGGACCTCAGAGGCCTGTGAATTGCCCACCAGTGCACATACTTCTCCGGAACATGACGACAGAGAGTGCCTTCCTTCTGGTTTGAATTCCTCCCACCCTGGGGGTTGGCCACTCCCTTGCCACTATGGGCTGGCATCCATGGTTGCCTAGAAAGCTCCCTGCCTGGAGTATACTGGTCAGTGTCCTACGTGTCTTTCAGAGGGTTAGAGTCCCCTATCCCTCTCCCCTTGGCCCAGGTCCCACCAGGAATCGGGCTCCTGTGCGTGAAATCCAAAGTGGTATTAGATGCTATGGCTCTGGACTTGAGCCCTGAGCACTGAGGCAAGATGTATCCTGGGGGGCCCGGGGACCAGGAGCGGGAACCAGATCGTTTCATAGAAATTTTGGCTGAGGGGGTGGCTGGCTTTGAAAGCTTTGCAGATCCATTCAAGTCCAAACAAGCCAGTGTAAGGGGATTGGGTGGGTGGGTGGAAGCTTCCAGGCCCATGGGGCAACTGGTCTTTGGATTTTCCCAGGACTTTTAGACAAAGTCCAGAAAGTTAGCTAAGCTCCAGCTTCCCTTTTTTTCCTAAGAAATACAGCAAGTGTCTTATGTTCTCTGGGACTTTCTTTTCAGGACATCAATAGCCCAGATAGGGAACAGAATAATTTATTGTTAGAACTAGAAAAGATCTCCTTTCCTTTCTCACTGCAGCTTCATTTTGCAAACCCAGACCACTGTCCTGCCTTCCTTTCACACAGCCATCTAAAGTTTATGAACATGTTAAGGTACACCATCATTCATGTGGCCGGTGAAGCATATGGAGAGGTCAGCGTGAGACTCAAGCCAGACTGCCTGGCTCAGAATCCTGGTTCTTCTACTTAGTGTGTGGCTCTGTGGCCTTGAGCAAATTTCTTAACCTCTCTGGTCCTTGGTCTCCTCCTCCATAATGCTAGAACTTACTTCCTTGGGGTATTGCAAAATTTAAATGAGCTAATTCACAAAAAAACATTTGAAGTTTTACATCAACAGTGTGTAGGGGCACCTGGCAGGCCCAGTCGGTAGAGTAGGTGACTCTTGATCTCAGAATCGTGGGTTTAAGCCCCACGTTAGGCCTAGAGCCTACTTCTAAAAAAAAGAGGGGGAAAAAAGTATGTAAAGGTTTTGGAAGTATCTGGTACAAAGTAAGCATTCACTAAGTGTTGGCTTATTATTATTGCTATTAGTATTATCACTCAATTTTCTTTTTCTTTTTTTTTTTTTTAAAGATTCTGTTTATTTATTCATGGGAGACACAGAGAGAGAGGCAGAGACATAGGCAGAGGGAGAAGCATGCAGGGAGCCCTATACGAGACTCGATCTCAGGGCCCCAGGATCACGACCTGAGCCAAAGGCAGACGCTCAATACTGAGCCACCCAGGTGCCCCTCACTTGCTTTTCTTTAAGATCCTGCTGTGGCATTTTACTGATCAAGGATAATAAATAAAGAACTGAAGCTCAGAGAGGTTGGATGATTTGCCCAGGGTCAAGGGGCTAATAAGTGACACAGCAGGGATTTTAAGCACCATCCCCCTCCAGAGCTCCCCACCCAGTCCAGAGCTGGTCCAGGAGCTTCCTGCTTGGGCCCAGCGCTGCTGTCCTGGGCCAGCCCCTTTTCTCCTCAGTGCTGGGAATTCAGCATGGTCCCTTTCTCCACAGATGCCCAGAAGTGTGAGCTGATCTGCCAATCGGAGGACACCGGGGATGTGGTCTTCATGAATCAGGTGGTCCACGATGGGACACGCTGCAGCTACCGGGACCCATATAGCGTCTGTGCCCGTGGCGAGTGTGTGGTAGGTCTGGGCTGTCCGCCTCTGCCTTCCCCGGGGACACCTGAGTGCTGCACTGCCTGCCCCTTTTTCTGCTCCCTAGGGAGACAGGCGTCTCCTCACCTTCCCCACCCACAAGACCCTTGGTCCTCAGCATAAGCCCGGGATTCTAGAAGTGGGTCATCACCCAGCCCCATTTAAGGGAAGAGGAGAGGCCAGGTTTAAGATCCATCCATGTCACATGGCGAGTTTGTGACAGAGACCTGTCCAGGAATGCCTCTTGGTCCATGGTCAATGAGTGGGGCCTGGGGAGGGAGCCAGGGGCTGCCAACCTGGGGGTGGTAGTGGGGGGCATGGGAGCCTTCTCCTGCTGACCCTACCTCTGCCTCAGCCCGTCGGCTGTGACAAGGAGGTGGGATCCATGAAGGCAGATGACAAGTGCGGGGTCTGTGGAGGGGACAACTCTCACTGCAGGACTGTGAAGGGGACACTGGGCAAGGCCTCCAAGCAGGCAGGTGAGCAGGTTGGGGCTGGAGTTCCGGCCTAGCCAGGTTCCCTTGAGCCTGAGTCTCTCAGGCTGGACCCTTCTTCCTCTGCTGGGCCACAGTTCGGGGCGGGAGGCACCTGGAGCTTGCCTCTGGACTGGAACATTTTTTTCTCTTCTGTTTCTCCATTGTTTTGGGAACCTTGTGGTGCCTCCTGCTTTGAACTCCTGGTACCTTAGTTCCTTGAATTCCTTCCCCTCCTTCAATCTGGCCACACTTGGCTGATACTCGTCCTTTATACCCTAGGATGAATTAGGTCCATTTCCCCTTTGGGAGTGTCACAGCTTTGCCTGCCTCTCTACGGGGGCCAGGCTTTGAGAGAGGTTGTTTCCAGGCTTGGGATAGGGAGGGTGAGAGGGCCCAGAGGAGCCATGCCAGACCTTCATCTACATCCCTTAAGGCCTGAGAGGAAAGGGGGAGGGGACAAAAGGAGAGAAAAGGAGGCTCAAGAGAGTGGGGTAAAAGAGGTAAGTAGTGCCCATGTGGGCTTTCCCACAAACCCGCACAAGGCGGCCCTTAGATTCGAGGGAGCATTGAGCGATGCATTTCGTTTGACCCTCTCAGCACCTTGTGGACAAGGGCCCATTCCTATTTTACAGATGAGGAAACAGGTTCTTGGGTATGTGAGGGGCAGAGGTGGGCAGCAGGGCCACAGCTCAGGGTGCTCGCCCATCTTCCTGTGCCGCAGGAGCTCTCAAACTGGTACAGATCCCAGCTGGTGCCAGGCACATCCAGATCGAGGAGCTGGAGAAGGTTCCACACCGCATTGGTGAGTGTCGGGGAGCCAGGAGAGGGGGCTCCCTCAGGTGTGGGAGAGCAGGAGAGGGCTTGCCCTCAGGTGTGAGGGAGCAGGAGAGGGCCTGCCCTCAGGTGTGGGGGAGCAGGAGAGAGCTTGCCCTCAGGTATTGGGAGCAGGAAAGGGCCTTCCCTCAGGTGTGGGGAGCAGGAGAGGGCCTGCCCTCAGGTGTGGGGGAGCAGGAGAGGGCTTGCCCTCAGGGGTGGGGGAGCAGGAGAGCAGAGGAGGAGGATCCTCATGCAGGGGAGATTTCAAAATAATTTTGAAATTTTTGTGTTTCTTTGTGTTTTACTTATGTTGAAGAGAAACCCATTCCAGGGTTCAAATTTCAGATGTGAAAGGGGATCCAGTGGAGATCCCCCCGCCCCACCTCTGCCCTCGGAGGTGCAGTTTCTTTCCTGAGGGGAAGCCACTGTTGATTAATTGTGCACAGTTTTTTTCTTTTAAAGATTTCATTTATTTATTCATGAGAGACACACAGGGAGAGGCAGAGACACAGGCAGAGGGAGAAGCAGGCTTTCTGGAGGGAGTCTGATGAGGGACTCAATCCCAAGACCCAGGATTGCAACCTGAGCCAAAGGCAGATGCTCAACCACTGAGCCACCCAGGTGCTACTTGTGCTCATCTTTTAAAGAAAAACCATTTTTATAGAATGTATCAGTCTCCTTTTGCTCTATAACACATCATCCCCAAACTCTGGTTTCGAACAACAAGAGTTTCTGTTGGCTCATGGTCCTGTGGGCTGTCAGGTTGGACTGGGTGCAGTGTGTGCAGCTTCTGCTCCTCTGCCTGGACTCACTCATGCCACGGCAGCATTTGGTGGGTCTGTAGATCCTGATAGGTACTGGCTGTCAGCTGGGGTGACGGGGGCAGAGGGGACAGAGCCACGTCCCCAGCAGGCTAGCCTGGGATTATTCCCATGGAGCCTGTCACACGGTCCTGAGGGTGGGCAAGGGCAGGCAAGCCCCCATGTGCACACAGTTGCCAGGTCCCTGCTTGCATCATGCTTTGTGATATCCCGTTGGCCCAAGCCAGTGTCAAGGCCAAGCCCAGACTCAAGGGGTAGAAACAGAAGATCTCTTGGTGGGAAGTGTGGTACAGTCGGAGCACAGGCGTGCACATGGGAAGAGGAGGAATTTGTAGCCGTTTTTGCAGTCTGCCACACGGACCCTTAAACTATCCTTAACATAATGGCACTTAAACACAATCATTAGGCCACGCCTTATCATAGTTCTACAGCTATAAAACCAAGAGAGATGAAAAAGTAGCACCCCCGCCCAACAAATCGACACAATTCAAATTGAGAACGTAAATGTATTGGGACAGAGTCTTGTGTTCCTTTGTTTGCTGTGTTCTGTTTGTGCTGAAACTAAGTTGGTGGTTAAAAAATGAATGTGTCCAGAACAGACAAATCCAGGGAGACAGGAGAGCAGATGAGTGGTGCTCAGGGGCTGATGGGAGGGGGATGGCAATGTCTGCAAATGGGGGTGATAAAGTGTCTTGGAATTGGATAGTGGTCCAGTAGTCACTGACTTAGACACTTTAAAGGGCGGACTGTGTGGTATGTGAATTATATTTCAATTCAAAACACATAAGGATGGACCCAGGGGGCAAGCAGGGAGAAGGCTGCCGCCCTGACATTGGGTAGTATCTGGGTTCTCCCACACTTGTCTATGTTCAGACCCCTTACAGGGGGCATGTGTGCCTTGATGTCACTGGGCCTTAGCATGTTCCAGAGGCCCCTCTTACCTGTTAATGCCCACTGGGTCACACTGCTTATCACCAGTGCTTCATAAACACGAACACAAAACATAACCTCTCTGGGCAGGCTCATATATTACAAAAATGCTAATATTTATATTTTTAGGTCATCACCAAAATAATAGAAAATATTTTAAAGTGTCTGGGAGAGGTCGCACCCTCTGGGGAATACATCGACGTTGTCACAACTGTAATAGATACCTAACCTCCTCTGGAAGGCACCTGACAGGCAAATAGGCAAGAGGCACAAGGGGAAACAGGCCCACAGTGGCTCATGGGCCTTCTGTGTCCCCTGATTCACCCATACGGTGAGCCAGTCTGGGCCGGGGTCTCCTGTCTCCCAGCCCCATGCCCTTGCTGCCCACACAGCTCTGCACAGGGAGTGTGAGTTTGGAGGGCTTGGCAAACTCTCTGCCCTGCCTGTGTGGCTCTGGGTATTTTGCTGGATGGAACAGGGGCTAGGAGAGGGGAAGGGTGAGGAGAGAAGGGTCATTTACTCCAAGAGGAGGGTGGAACTTGCAGACACTCCATCTGCTCTGCCCTTCCCCTTGGGCCTCCTGGGCCAGCTCCTTCCACCCCTTCCCGGCCCCTACCTGCCCTCTACCCTGCCCCTTACCTGGTCCCCTACTTGGCCCCTACCCAGCCCCTATTCGCTGCCTGTAGAAGTCTAGCTCCTCCATCCTCTGCACAAGGGCTTCCATGGGGGCCGGGGCAGAGGCTCCCAGAATCCAGGGCAGCTTCAGTGCAGCAGGCACTCTTGCCTGTGTGTGTACTGGGTGAGCTCCCTGGGGGGCTGGAGCTTCTCAGGGGCTGGGCAGGGAGGGAACTGGGACTGCGGCCTGATGTTGGCTCACATCATGTGATTACGCATGTGTGAGGGAGAGGGTGGGACCCTGGTAAAAATGGGTGAGAGTGTGTGTGCGTGTGCGTGTGTGCGCACACATGCCTATCATGGTACTTGCTCTCTGGAGAAGTCCAGGACAGGTGGCAGTGTTGGCAGTGAAGGCCAGGGCCCTGGAATCTGGGGATGTGGATCCTTTGAAAGGAAGGGAAGAGAATCCTGTTGCTGCTGTCACCCCTGCGCTGGGCCTGGAGCTGGTGTTTTTCATCCATTACCTCTTGTCACCCTGGTGATGATCCACGGAGGCACCTCTCCAGCCGTGAAGGCCTAAATGGCATCTTTGAAAAGGAGATGGTCTCATCCACATTGAAAATCTGTTGTTTAGTGCAGCCACCTTCATGACTAATCTCAGCTGAATATTCTGGTTAACTTGCTGCAGCTTTTATGTCAGAACCTGCTGCCTCCCCCGGCACATGTTATGGAGAGGGCTTCTTAAACCTCAAGAACCATCCTCCCTAGCTTCTGACTTTTCTGCAGCTTCCTCTCCTCTCTCAGCCTTTACAGAACAGAAGAACGTTAGGGCCTTGTTCCGGGTTAGGCTTTGGGTTAAGGGAATGACATGGCTGGTTTCATCTTCCCTTCAGACCACTTGACCCCTATCAGCAATGAGGCTGCTTCGCTTTCTTATCATTCCTGTGTTCACTGGAGTTGCATCTTCAGTTTCCTTCAAGAATGTTCCCTTTCCCTTCACAACTTGGCTGACTGTTCAGCATAACACGCCTGGCTTTTGACCCATCTCCGTTTTCGACATGCCTTTTGTGCTAAGCTTAATCATACGAAGGTTTTGATTTTTTTTTAAATTTTTATTTATTTATGATAGGCACACAGAGAGAGAGAGAGAGAGAGAGAGAGAGAGAGAGAGAGAGGCAGAGACATAGGCAGAGGGAGAAGCAGGCTCCATGCACCGGGAGCCCGACGTGGGATTCGATCCTGGGCCTCCAGGATCGCGCCCTGGGCCAAAGGCAGGCGCTAAACCGCTGCGCCACCCAGGGATCCCGAAGGTTTTGATTTAAAGGGAGAGACGGTGACTCTTCCTTTCACTTGAACGCTTAGTGGCCATCGTAGGGTTATTGATTGACCTGATTTCGATTTGTGTTTCAGGGAATGAGCAGACAGGGATAGAGACAGGGGAATAGCCTGTCAGTGGAGCAGTCGGTACATACACGATATTTATCCGTGACGTTCACTGTGCTATGTGGGCAGCGTTCATGGCGCCCCAAACAATTACCAATACTAACATCAAGTATCACTGACCGCAGATCACTGTAACAAGTATCCTAATGAAAAGGTTTGAAATATTGCAAGAATTATCAAAATGGGACTCAGAGACATGAAGTGGGCAAAAGCTGTTGGAAAAATGGCTCCAATAGACTTGCTTGATGCAAGGTTGCCACAGATTCTCCGTTTGCAAAAAGTGCAGTATCTGCAAAGCACAATAAAGCGAAACGAGGGATGTCTGTAGTTGCTCGGGGTACACAGTGGGCCAGCGGTCGGGCCAGGACTCACAGGTGCACCCGGGTGGTCAAGCCCATGCTGAGTCCAGCCCACTGCCCCTGGAAGGAGGGGTGTACAGCCAGGGGTGGGCACGGCAGTTGCTGTGAGGTGTGGGAGCACACAGGGTGGCGGGAAGATTTGAGACCAGGCCTGGCCTGAGGAGCTGCCCAGCTCTGGGTCTAGGTCTGGGGATTCTGGGAGCTGAGAGAGATCAGACAATGACAGGTGAAAGGGGATCTGTCCTCCTCTCACTCAGCAGGAAGACTGGTCCTCAGCTGGGTCACCAGTGCTCTGTGTGTCGAGGACAAACCCTTGCCCCTCATGGGCTTCTGACTTTCCATCTGGGCTAATAGTAGCACCAACCTCAGGATGTGTGTGAGGATGCCACTGAGGCAGGTAGCAGAGTGACCAGAGCGTGGTTAGTTGGCTCTCGTGGTATCATAATTATGCAGAATGGTTTTCATCCTCAGTAGGTGGGGACACCGGCAGGCTTGGGGGCGTTTGCTCTTCTACGTGGCTGAGGGGCTTGGGTCCCAGGCTGTAGTCCTTCCCCAACCTGCTGCTTCCAGGGTGGCCAAGGCCAGGCTGTCTGCACCTGCACACCTCCTACCCACCTGCCACTGGGCACCTTTCAATATCAAGCTGCGAGTTAATCACTGACTGGGACTCTAAGGGGTAGGCAGTCACAGATATTTTTTAAATGCTCACTCTGTGTCAGGCCCCAAGGACACCAGGATGGAGGAGATACCCTGACAGGCTGCGGGTGGTAGGGAGACAGGACATCTATGATGGCAACAATGCTAAATGTCAGGGACTGTTCTCATGACAGTAATAGTGTGTTCCTACCGTTTATTGATTGCCAGCTGCATACCATGCACTCTGCCTCGTTCTTTACACGTTTGAACTCCTTTTTGTCCCAGGAGCCCCATGGTGGGTAGTGGGGGTGGAGTACTGTGGTTAGCCTCATGGGGCAGCAGCCCTGTGAGCTAGGGATAATCATGATTCCCATTTTATGGATGGTGAAACTGAGGCAACACAGGGAAGCTAAGTAACTTCCCCAGATCAGTCTGACTCTAGAGCCTCTACTCTTAGCCTTAGCTCTCTGCTATAGAAGTTTTAGGGAGTACAAATCCCTGAGGACTGGGCTCTCAAAGAAGGCTTCCTGGAGGAGGGGAGAATTGTACTGAGCCTTACGTATGAGTGAAGATTAGGCAGGCAGGAGGAAGGGAAGACAAGGTGGGAGGAATGGGTTGCGCCAGGGTCCAGAGGCAGGGATGCTGAGTTCAGCCAGCGTGGTGACTCATCTGAGTGTGGAAGGCTCTGGAGGAAAGGAGTGACAGGTCATAGGGAGCCCTGAGGGGTCCACTAGGAAAGTCTGGAAGCCCCTAGTGCTCCTGTGAAGGGGAATAGAAATCTGTGTGACCCTCTCCCCATGGCCAGCGGTGAAGAACCAGGTCACAGGCAGCTTCATCCTCAACCCCAAGGGCAAGGAAGCAATGAGCCGGACCTTTACTGCAATGGGCCTGGAGTGGGAATACGTGGTGGAGGATGCCAAGGAATGCCTCAAGACCAGCGGGCCCCTGCCTGAAGCCATTGCTGTCCTGGTGAGCCCCCACCTTGCATGATGGCCCCCGTCCACTCCCCTGCTGCCCCAGCCCAGTCCCCTCTCCCAGTTCACTGTCTTCACTGTTGAGCCAGCACAGGCCTGGCGGAGGTCCTCCTATTGCAATGTCTTCAGGAGCCTGGGCAAGGCCAAGGCCGAAGTGCCTTTTGTGTGTAAAGGCAGGCAGGGTGGCAAATGAGGGAGAGAGAAATGATTGTCTTGCTGTTAGAGGGTATCTCCTTAATGCAGCATCAGAAATAGGGCCTAGAAATGAGCAGGAGGCACCTGGGTTGGTTCCCTCTGTCATCCTGGCATCATCCAGTGTCCGTTTGTGTTATGGCATTGCCAACAAGTGACCTTGGTAGAGGAGGGGTGCTGTCTCATGCTGCCAGCCTCATTGTCCTTGCTGGGGTCTGCCTCTGCCCACACCCCCTCTTCCTAGACCATAGACCAGGGCTTATGGAGGAGGGACTGTTAATACAGGAGATCAGACCAGGAGGAGCTTTGTCTGCAGTGCCCTTGACACTGGCTGGTGGCAGGGAGACCGTGGACAGGCTTTGTTCCTGGTGCTACCCTCACTAGCTGGGGAGGTCCTAGAGGGCAGGATCTGAAACCTCTTGGTGTCAGCATATGAATTCAATCTACATATATATGCATTCACCTTGTATGTAATGACCACCCATACTCCTATAGCCAATGATTTTCAACAAGGGTGCCAAGACCACTCAGTGGGCAAAAATAATCTCGTTAACTAACAGTGCTGGGGCAACTGGATTATCCACATGTAAAAGAATGAAATTGAGCCCCTACCTCACACCATATCCAAAAAAGAGCTCAAACTAGATCAAAAGCCTAAGTACAAGAGCTAAAACCATAGATGTCGTAGAGAAAATAGCAGGATCAATTGTACAGCCTTGGATCTTAGTTGCGATACCCAAAGCATGAGCAACAAAAGAACAATAGGTAAATGGGTCTTCCCGGAAACTGAGAACTCTTGTGCATCGGAAGGTACGATGATGACAGTGAGAAGACAAGCTGAACAGGATGAGAGAAACTATTTGCCACCATGTATCTGATAAGAGTCTAGCTTATAGACCGTCTACCTCCATCTTCTGGAGGCAGGTAGTGTGGTTGCCCTGGTGAGGATGACAGACCAACAGACATGGTTCCTGCCCTCACTAGAACTTAGGTCTGTGGGAGGGAAGATTATCCGCGAGCACACAGGCCGTCCTCGGGCTGGCTGTCCCACGCTTGCCACATGGCTTGCTGGTGTGAATGGTCTCCCAGGCCATACTCACTGCTGACCCCACATCCTTCCCTTTGACTCCACCTCCCTGCCCACCACCCCGCATGCTGGGCTTGCCTCCTTGCTCTCCAGGCCTGTGCCAGTTGCTCTGCCTCCCCTCAGGTGCTCCCCCCAGCTGAGGGTGGTCCCCGCAGCAGCCTGGCCTACAAGTACATCATCCACGAGGACCTGCTGCCCCTTATCGGGAGCAACAATGTGCTTCTGGAGGAGACGGACACATACGAATGGGCGCTCAAGAGCTGGGCCCCCTGCACCAAGGCCTGCGGAGGAGGTAATGACCTGTCCAACCATCTGGCAGCCTCGTGGGGGCAGCCCAGGCTTTTCAGGGGAGGAACAGAAGTGGTGGGGAGGGCACTATCGCCTCCGCTTGATGTGTCCCTAACTTGTGCCCCACTTTCTCCTTAAAGATCTCTTGGTGTGACAGCCTGTCTGGGCAGGGCCTTGGGAAAGGGGCTGAGAGTGCTAGCAGCACTGGGGCAGGGCCTGTGCCCTGTAAGGGCTCCCCAGCTATGCAGAAAGGTGGCTGTCCAGAGCTGGGTCCCCTCCTCTCGCACCCTGCACTACACTAGGGACACAGGAAATGGGCAGATCAAGGAAGGCTTCAGAAAGTGACCAGGGCAGGAGGGTGCAAAGTCACAGACGGAGGTAGGATTGTCCCCCCAGCCTCTCCAGAGTTTGCCAGCCCGGGAGGCCCCAGCAGAGCAGTAGGGGCCTGGCGGGACCCGGCCCAACTCAGCCTGCCCTCCCCACAGGGATCCAGTTTACCAAATATGGCTGTCGGCGCCGGCGAGACCACCACATGGTCCAGCGGCACCTGTGCGACCACAGGAGGAGGCCCAAGCCCATCCGCCGGCGCTGCAACCAGCACCCCTGTGCCCAGCCCGCGTGAGTGCCCCAGGGGAGGGACTAGGAGCCTGACCTGTTCCCAGGGGCATTGCTGACCCTTAGTCGGGAGGAGATGCTGCTGGGCCTGCTTCCTCTGGCCCTCAGGGCTAGAGGCACACGGCCCGCACACCAGACTCTGCCCTGGGCCAGCGCTGCCCTCCTTGCCCATCTGTCCCCTATGGGGTTTCTAGGTTAACTTCCACTCCCAGAAGAAGCCGATGCTTCCTTTGTTCTGCCCCTTCCAGCATTCTTTTACAGTGGGGAAACTGAGGCCCACAATGGGGACATGGCTTTCCCTCAGTGATCCAAGGGGACTGTGAGGTGAACTTGATTTGGTGCTTCTGGGCTCCAGGGTGCTGACACCAGCCACCAGCTGTAGCCTAGGCCCTGACTGGGTTCCCTGGCCTGGGAGACAGGCTCATTGGAGCACAAGGTCACGTTCCTGGGGTGATTTGGAGGGCGCTTTGGGGAGAAGAAGAGCTGTGACTTGTCGGGGATTCAAGGTCTGGCCTTCCGCGTGTCACAGAGATGGCCCAGCACCTCCTCGGCCCACATGCAGAGGCCGTGTCCATTTTCCTGCCTCATCAGGGTCCAAGCAGCCCAACTTGGCCTTGCTGGCCCAGAGCAGCTCTGCTTCCTCAGGCAGGGGGAGCCTCGGGGCCGGGGCAGGAGCTGGTGACCAGCACAGAGCCCACGGTGTCCTCCCTGTGCCCGGCCCCCCTGTGCCCGGCCCCCAGCCAGGATAGCCCCGCCACTCAGCCCTCTGTGCTTCCCATTCCCACTGTCTGCAGGCCGCTTTGCCCACCACTATCTGTGGTCGCAGCGCATGCGGCGCCCACTCTGCTGTCATCCTGGCTTCTCGTCTGTGAAATGCCAAGTGATGCTTGGGGACTTTTTGTTGTTGTCTTTTAAAGGAAGGAGTTGGCTGAAAGAGCCCTCATTCACTAAAAGATATCTTGGGGAAGAAGGGAGTGGGGATGGGGGGCCCTCCTGCCCCACTGTGAGAGCCTTCTGGTCTTTGTCTAACTCAGCCAGCAGTGTCTGCCTCTGGTGCTCTTGGGAGTTGTTCTGTGGCTTGGAGCTTGCCAGCTTAGCAGGTCAGCACCCAAACCCTGTAGGTGCTGATGGTCATAATCCTATTTCCTGCAATTAAGTAGGGCACACGATGAGATGAGCCCTGGGTGTTTTACTATATGTTGGCAAATTGAATTTAAATAAAATTTTTAAAAAATAAGGAAAAAAATAATAGCAACTGTATTATAATAACAGTACCCCAATAATAATACACATCTACTGCGGGCGTGCACTCTGCCAAGTGCTGTAAGTCCACAAGTCTAATTGTCCCAAGAGTCGCAGGGGAGGGGCTTCAACTCCACAAGCTGTGACTCTCGTCTGTCTTGCATACTGCTGTAGCTCAGCACCTGCAATAGCACCTGCCCAGGGGAGACACTTATCTATTTACAAGGTGTTGAAGGAATCCTGATGAAAGATGGGGTCACTGGATCAAAGGGGTTACAGGGTGCCAGATAGAAAGATGCCTTATACCCATTTTCCAGATGAGGAAACGGAGGAGGACGTAAGCAACCTCCCTAAGGCCGCACACCCTGGCAGCTGGAGAGCCAGGACCATGTGGTCTTGGCACTTTGAAGCTCAAACCCACTCCTGCCCGCAGCAATTCAGGGTGGTGAGGTTAGGGGGTTGGGGGTGCAGGGAGTGACCCTGGGAGGAAGTGTCCCTCTAGTCCCCCCTCCCCTCCACCTTTTGCCTTGTCTGTCTCCAGGTGGGTGACAGAAGAGTGGGGTGCCTGTAGCCGGAGCTGTGGGAAGCTGGGGGTGCAGACCCGGGGGGTGCAGTGCCTGCTACCCCTTTCCAATGGTACCCACAAGGCCATGCCGGCCAAGGCCTGCCCTGGGGACCGGCCCGAGGCCCGGCGGCCCTGCCTCCGCGTGCCCTGTCCAGCCCAGTGGCGCACGGGCGCCTGGTCCCAGGTGAGTTGTTCTTGGAGCGGGGGAGGAGCTGGGCCATTGGGCACCTTCTCTGGGGAGTCGGGGAAAAGGTGGATCTGGGTGGGGGGGGGGGCTAAGAGGTGTGGTGCTCCCAGCAGGTAGAGAGTCTCTGACTGAATTTCTCTCCCCACATTGGATCTGGTCCAACCTGATTTTTCTCAAAACTCAGTCCAGTGGTTCCTATGTATGCTGGGCCACGTTTCTGGGCCAGGCCTTTGTATTCTTTCACCGTTTGCTTCGACCTAGAACTGGGTCACACCTGGGAGGCATGGGCTAATATCCTCGTGACATGAGTGAGCAAACTGAAGCACTTTCTTGCATTTGAGAAATATTTACTGAGTGCCAACTACATGCCAGGCGTACTGTATTGGGAATCCTGGAATCCATCATCGACTAGATAGACTCGATTCTTGTCCTCGTGTAGCTTACAGTCCACTAAGAGAGACAGCAGAGATAAGCAAACCAATTACAAAAGCGTTTACAGGTTGCAGATGGAGCCGTGCAAAAGTATATGGGGGTAACGTATCCGGGAGGGCTTCTTGAAGGCGTCCCGCTAAGTGAAACAAGCCAGACACAAAATGACGCACACTCTATGATTCCACTTACCTAGACTAGTCCCGTTCCTAGAGACCCAGAATAGGAGGGTGGGTGCCTGGGGCTGGGGGCGGGGGGTGAGGGACTTAGTGTTTGATGGGGACAGGGTTTCAGTTTAGAGAGAAGAAAAAAGTGCTGGACCTGGAGGTGGTGAGGGTGGTGCTTAATGCCACTGAACTGCACACACTTTAAAAATGGTTATAATGGTGTTATGATATATATGTTTTACCATAATTTTCAGAATCTCATTTGGTCACAAAGATAAGCACGACAACGCTCATCAATATAGCAGAATTTCAGGCAATGTCCTAAATGCCCATCCGCAGGAGACTGGACCAAACAAATCAAGGTCCATTCATACAACAAAATAGCAGAGATTGAGAAAAATAAGTAAGCTTGAACTGTACTTAACCAAGATAGATAAACCTCAGAAAAACAGGTGAGAAAAAGCACGGGCGTATGAAGAAAAATCACTTCCAACGGGAGACCATGCACTTAAAGTTTGAAAAGGCACGGCACGGTATTTGAACATGTGCCAGAATGCTGATTGATGAAAGCTGCGGGTGGTATTTGAACAGGCTGTCGTGCCCAACTTCCTCATATGTTTCCGTATGCTAGAAATATTACATAATAAAGAGTATTTTTAAAATAACTAAAAATCCCCGTACAACTTATGCAAATTTTATTTTCTTGTCCCTAATGTAAAGGCGTTATTTGTCTTTTGAGCCCCTTTGCTCCCAACGCCTTTTCCTTTCCGGAAGGAAGACACTTTTGAACCTGCCTCTTCCAGCTGAGTTTGGGTACATTGAGTCACAGAGTCATTGAATGTCAGAGGTAGAGGGGGTCCGCAGTGTCCCTGTCACCCAGCTCTCTCAGTTTAGCAGGTGTCACAATCCCGGTCCCTGCATCCCACTGCTAAGGTAACGTCAAATGAGTGGACTTGCCCCAGGCCCCTCAGGCTGGTGGATCACAACAAGGGAGTTGCCAGAATGATCCACAGGATATTTAAGGCCCTGGGCGCAGACCAGAGGGTGGGCACAGGTAGAGGTGCTGGAGTGGGGTCCCTACGGTCCCCTCCTGAGCCAGGATTAACTGTTTAGGTGACAAAAGGGGTCAGGGGGCTCTGAGCTGAGGGTGGTGCTGTTCAGCACCCGGTACAGGAGTACCGACCATCGATGTTCTGTCCTGGTGAGGCACTTAGAGCAGTCTTTGCGCGTCCCTCTGGTCAAGGAGACACTCAGCGCCGCCCTCTGATGCTGTCCTGGGCATTGGTTGGCCTCTGGAGCTCACTGCCCCCTTCCTCTTGTCTCTCCCCCTTTCCTTCCCCGGCCACGGTGGTCCGGCCCACAGTGCTCTGCTACCTGCGGGGAGGGCATCCAGCAACGGCAGGTGGTGTGCCGGACCAATGCCAACAGTCTCGGGCAGTGTGAGGGGGACAGGCCAGACACCGTTCAGGTCTGCAGCCTGCCGGCCTGTGCAGGTAAGCTGGATAGGATGGGGGGGGGGGCAAGGCCCAGCTCCTCTGTCCGAGCCCTGAACCCAGCCCGGCTTGCATTCTTTCCCCCCACAAAATGCCAAATGCTAGAGCTGCTTCTCTCCGCTCACAGGAAATCTCCAGAACTCCAGAGTGAGTGCTGACATTCGAGAACTTGTGACCCCAAAAGGACAGTGGGTGCCACAGTCAGGGCCCTTACATCCCATTAACAAGATATCATCAAGTAAGTGTATCTCTGGAACCCTCCCCCCGCCCCAGACCTTCCCGTGGTCACCATGTCACAAGCATGGGCCATGTGGTGGAGCAGCCCCAGCTTCCAGTCTCTGTCCACATGATCTTAGCCTCCTGGAGCCTCAGATTCCTCAGCTGTGAGCTGGGGGTGCTGCCCACGCTGGTCCACAGGCCCTTATCTGCACTTCCAGAATGTTGAAAGCTGCAAGTGTTTCCCTAAATTTGGTGCAGACTCATTTGGCAGCAGAACTGGCCTTACCAGGAGATCAGTTATTTTGCTATTGAAACATTGCCGCAGTTACAGGGGGACGTCCCACTCCCCATAGGGGTGTTCTGTAACATGAATATTACTTTTCTCACTTCGAAAGTTCTGAATTACGAATCACTTCTGATTTCAAGATTTGGGGATAAGCAGTTACAGATCTAAGCTGTCTTCATAGGGCTGTGGAGAGAATTAAATAAGATAATGCACGCACTCCTGCCTAGCTGTCGGCTAACAACAAAAATAGTAGTAGTACTTTCTCTCTGCCTCATGATCAAGAGTGCATTGGTCCATCCTCCCACCTTTCCATTCATCTGTCTATCCACCTACCTACCTATCCATCCATCCATCCATCCATCCATCCATCCATATCCATCTACCCTTCGATCCATCCACCAATCTGTCCATTAATATTGACTGAGCACCTGCTATGAACCTGGCCCTGTGTTCTGTGCTTCCTTTCTAGATTCCTTCTCTCTTTTCCTTCCTCACCTTCTCAAGGACCAGTGTCTGACATGAGGAGTAGAAAAATCATGACCCTAACTTTTAGTGGAGGACTAACTAGCTGTGTGACCCTGTGCAAATCCTTAAACTTCTCTGAGCTTAGTGACCTCATCTGTAAGAAAGGGGTCTCACTAGATGTCCTCAGAGTATCTTTTGGCTCTAGCCTTGCTGCACTCTGCCCCTCTGCCGGCTGCACGAGTGCCAGGTTTCCTTCCCTTTTCTGCCCTAAGCAGAAGATGGGCTCGGGATTCCGGTCCTGGAATTCTGGTGCCATCTAGAGGCCACTGGCTATCCAATTTTTCCCCCTAATCTCTCTCCTGTTCCCCTAAACCAGCACGTAAGCACCCAACCCCCATTCCATCCCACCAGCCCCCCACCCCAACCCCTTCCCCAGCAAAAATTAATAGAAAGCAAAGTTCCTGCCTTTACGTTGTCTGGAGAGATCTATCTGGAATTGTCACAGAAACACAAGAACATTTTTAGGTGATATTTGAACCAAAACAAATGAAACTCGTATAGAGGGCACCCCTGTATGCCAGGAACTTTATAAATGGTATTTATAATCATAATGTTATTATTCACTGCTAAATGTCCAGCATTATCTCCATTTTATAGGAAAAGAAACTGAGGGTTGGAGAGTTTAAGTGATGTGCCCAAGGGCTCACACTTTTTAAGTGGAGCACCTCAGTTGGAACCCAGATCTGCTAGATTCCAGCTTTATTGGTGGAGCTGTTCCAAATGTTGTTGACATGGTTCATCTGCTGGTCACAGGTGTGGGTTACCAGGCACCTGCCTGGCCCTGGCCTGAGTGGATCAGTTCCTTTGGGTTGATCGGGAGGGGGCGAGGGTTCCCACTTCATCGAGAGTAGGGTTTCCAAGCTTTGCTGCAGATCCAAACCACCCAGTGCCCAGGCCACACCAAATGTCCAGTCTCCCTGGGTGTGGGAGGTGGGCGCTGGCCTGCTGTTAAAGCTCCTGGGCGATTCCACTTTGCAGCCAGGTCTGGTGACTAATGATATAGGGCCGTGGTTCTCAGATTTCTCCATGCATTGGAATCTCCTTGAAGGTTTTGTTAAAACCTGGAGCTGAGCCCCACCCCCAGAACTTCTGATTCGGTAGGTCTGGATGGGGCCTAAGAATTGGCATTTCCAACAGGCTTTCAGGTGATGATGCTTCATGTGTGGGGTCCCTACTTTGAGAACCACTACTCTAGGGGCCTTAGTTCCTCTTCCTCTGCTTACTCGGGCCAGTCTCTCTGTTTAGGCGGCCCTGTGGTGCCCTCTGGGGAAGAGCTTCAGAGCAAGTCCAGCTAGGGCAGGAGCTAGAGGACCTGCCGTTGCTGGGCTGAGTGGGAGGCAGAGGCATCCCCCCCATGCTGGTCCTTGTGCTGTGTGTGCAGCGGAGCCCTGCGAGGGGGACCGGTCCATCTTCTGCCAGTTGGAAGTACTCGATCGCTACTGCTCCATCCCCGGCTACCACCGGCTGTGCTGTGAGTCCTGTACCAAGAAGGCCCTGGGCCCTGACACCAGCCCGGCCCCTGGCCTGGCCTCACCACCACCCTTCTCCACCCCCGGGAGCCCTTTACCGGGACCTAGGTCCCCTCCAGATACTGTGGAGCCCACTGTGGGGCCAACGGGATCAGATGACCATCAGCATGGCCAACCCACCCAACTCCCAAGACCTCTGGGCACCAGCTCCCCAGTGACCCAGCACCGCTTTACTCCCCAGAAACTGCGCCCTAGAGCATCGTGGGGCACTTCCCCCAGCACCCCCCGGGGACAGCCTTGGGGCTGGACCCTGGCACCTACGTCGGTCTCCGAGGATGGAGGGGAGCTCAGGGAAGACCTGAAACACCCAGGCACCAGCCTCCCCGCCACCTCCTTGGTGACATGAGCCCCACCATGCCTATCCCGCCAGTCAAGTTTACACTGTGTGCTGCCTCAGAGACCGCCAGCTCGGAGGACACACAGCAGGGCAGGGGCAAACACAGACTTCCTTTTAAATTATTTGCCTTCTTGGTGTTCTAGTTTGGGGCTGTGACACTTCACCCCGCAAAGCGGGCAGTGCGAGGAAGAAAAAGATCAGGGAAAGCCCTAACCGGAGATACCTCAGCCAGCAGCCAGGGTGACACAATCGAACCTCTCAGGGGCTCCTGTCTATCTCCTGGCAGGACTGAGGGCCAGCTAGCGCCTCCTCCTCACGGCCACACTGGGGGGGCCCCACACTGGATCCTCTTCGGCTGCCTGCCTTTGCCAGAACGTGTGGGGACCGCTGTGGAGACCCTGTCTATCTGGCCCCTCTGCTCAGAGAGGCCAAGTGGGACCAGGGGAGGTCAGGAGGAGCGCTCTCAGGGTTGGGGTGCACGTGGTCACGAGGCTCTGGCTGCCGGACTGGGGTGGGTGGGAGGCAAGCTCATCTCAGGCCCAGCTCTTCACAGCAGGGGCACCACACAGCCCCTCCAGTTGAGGCCAAGAGGTGGAATGCAGCTCAGTGTTGGTGGCCACCTCTGCCCTTGCAGATGGCATTTCATGTTACTTCTGGTGCTCCCCAGCCTCACCCAGCCCACCCCAGAGAAGGGGGCTCTGGGCACTCTGGAATGCGTGTCTTCATCATCCCGGGGGGTCACAACTGGTGCTAGACTACCGGCTGAACAGGGAGTGTCAACTTTGGTCATCATGCTGTGGCATGAGGGGAGGCTGACCTGAAAGGTGACTTTGTGGGACAGTGAAACATGAGTTCTCAGGTTGTGCCCCATTGGTCACTGCTCTCTGCCAAAGAGTGCTCCTGCTGGGGTCCAGGGTCTTCTCCCACCTGGCTTGGGCTGGGCCAGACATTTGTGGTGCTAGGGCAAGGGGGTATGGTCAGGTCCCCAGGCTGAGGACCAGAGTCCCCACCCCCGCCCCCGGGGCCCAGTGCCCCAGGCAAGAATGTGAGCCTTTGCCCCACCCTGAGAGGACATGGCCCACAGGGCTGTGGCGCCTCAGCCGCCCTCCGTGTTACTTCCAAAGGCAGGTAACTTCTCTAGACCCTCTGGTTCTCAGGAAGCCACTTGGGCTCCCAGGATTTCTCCCAGTGGTCCTTACTCCCAGTCGTGCAGAGGGTCTCCCAGGCTCCTCAGCAGATGACAGAGGTGGTTGCCAGTCTTCCTTCCCTGGGGCAGGGGGGCTATTCTGAGCCAGGCAAGAGGACTAAGAGCAGTGGGTCCCTGCCTGCAACCCCTGGAGAATAGAGGCCCTGGAGGGGGCTCCTCACATGTCCTCTCTGCCTGCTGCCACCCCCCCCACCCCGGGATGCTGGGGCACACACTGCATCATTCCTGTGAGACCCAGCCTGCCTGTGTTAGGGGTATAAATTCTTGTGCCTTGGAGATCCAGATCTTTATACTTTCATGTATTTATTAACATTGTCCTTGGTGTTTTGTTGGACCTCAAAATGTTGTGTTGTGTTTTTTCTTGTTCTCTCTGTTTCAGAGGAAAAAGATACTGAAGCAACTTTCTCATGTGCTCTGCTGGGCAAGATGATGGAGGGGGTAGGGGGTGGGTGGGGGGCCCAGGGCCATAGACCCTCAGCCTCTCTGCCTTGACCTCACTCATTCTGGGGCTCCCTGGAACTCAGTGTGGAGAGGCAGGAACAGAGCCGGGGGCCTCGGGGTTCTAGCATCGAGTAGCTCTGTGGCCTTGGGCAGGTCACCGTCCAGAACTTGAGCCAAAGGGTGGAAGTGCCTGGGAGGTGGTTTGGAGTGTGCTTTGGCGAGAATGTTCTAACTAGCAGAGCTGTTCGAGCAGGCAAGAGGTGGCTTCCGTGGGGGGGGGGGGGGCAAGTGCTCTCTCCCCAGAAAAGTCCAGGCTGAACGAGAGTGCCACGCGGGAGGGGGAAGGAATGTGACACAGCCCAGTGAGCGGGCGGGCTGACCTAGAGCACCTGTGACTTAAAACCACCCATCCGTGCCTCACAGCTTGCTTGTGTCACACGTCACTAACCCACCACCATGCTCTTCTGGGGGAGGGGGAGGGCAGAGACAGAGGAAGAATCCTACACAGGTTCCTATAGGCTCAGACACCGATAGGGGGCTCGATCTCACAGCCCTGAGATCGCAACCTGAGCCGACATCAAGAGTTGGACGCTTAACCAACTGAGCCACAGGTGCCGTGCCCCCCGCCCCCACCCACTGCCACTCTTCCCAGGCCTGTCCCTGCCAGTTGTGGGGCTCAGAACCAGGCACAGAGACCTCCCCACTCCAGGCCTCACATTGCCTGTGTGAGGACAGTCTGGCCTGCAAGTCCAAGCTCCAGTTATATCCATGTGCAAACAGCATCCCCCTGAGAATCACCTGAGCTAAACAACCACCACTGGAGCCTAGGAGTGCACATAGTGACCTGTCACACCTTAGAGGGGGCCAGTCTTGGGAGATGTGAGCATAGGCCCCACAGTTGCCCTCGTGACTGTTCAGGCAAGGAATTCTGTGGGCTAAGGCACCCAGAGTGTGGCCTGCAAAGGGCAGGATCCTGGGGCCCCGGTGAGCATGTACCCTTGGCATGGTAGGCAGAGTGGGGCCTCTGAGAGCCCCAGCGCCCCAGCTCTGACACCTGGCAGGGATCGCGCGTGGGCATGCATGCCGATGCGCCCCCATCTTGTGCCATGGCAGACAATGCCAGTCTGTCACCACACTGAGCCTGGGCTGCCATAGGAACCCTTCATAGAGTTGCCATCACCAGGACGAGGGGCAGCGCCGCTGGGCTGACTTGGTAATTTTAACGCCGTCAGGAAGCTGTGTTTAGCCATCTCTGGCAGTGCCGTATCTCAAAACAGGCCTGTGGTGCTTGAGTCCAGGGAGAGGGACCCAGAAACCATCCCTGAGGAACCTCCACTGACTCTTAGGGCCCCACAGAGTCTGGTGTGGGCGTGAGACCACTCTAGAGAGCCTTTGGGCCCTAGATTCTGAGGGACATGACCCCATTTGCGCATCTGAAAAATGGCAGTGAAAGCATTGGCCCTGCCTACCTGTGAAAACTCAGGAAACCATACAACCAGGAAATGCAAGGGACGACGGAGAAGGTCTCTCCTAGGGACAGCATCGTTCCTGAGGTACCCCTGCTGTGGAGTGTAGAGGACCCGCTCTGCTGGGAGGGCCAGATGAGCCATTGGGTGTGCACAGAAGTGCACAGGAGTGGGCCAGAGTCAGAGTTTGGGTTCCTGAGAAAGCCCCCAGACCCCTACCTGTGGAGTCCTGCCCCTTCTCTGGTTTCCCTGTGGCCTGTCCCCTGCAGGGGCTATGGGCCCAAACCTGGGCAGCCTAAGCCACAGCCTGGACCAAAAGGTACCCATATCCTGCTTAGGACATAAAGCACTACAAGAGAACATCAGTCCCACCCTAACAGCAAGAAAAAGAAACAGCCTGGTAGTCTACAAAGTGGTACTTCAAAAAATTTTTTTAAAGAATTTATTTTAGAGAGTGAGGTGGGGGCAGGGAGGAGGAGAAGGAGAGGGGGAGAGAAACTCCAACAGACTCCAGGCTGAGTGTGTGGGGCTCAATCTCATGCTCCTGGGATCAGGATCTGAGCTAAAACCAGGAGTCAGATGCATAACCGAATGAGCCAACCAGGAGCCCCTACAAAGTAGTACTTTTTTTTTAGCTTATCATAGGGGTGCAGTTGCAAGGCAGGCAGGTGAACTAAATTCCAAAGAGCCACAAGCCCCTGTCAGCAGAGAGGATACATATGCTGTTCTACAGAGACAGAGCATGGGAGGAAGTGGCCAACATAGGAGCAGATAAGAAAATACAAGCGGAGTTTTAACAAATTTCTAAAGATCAGTGTGACAATTTGGTATCATCGGGTGCCCTGTGCACAAAGGAGGCAGCCTATACCTGCTCTTGTCACAGGCCTCTGCTGGTTGCACGCGAGAAAGATATAGAGCAGGACAAGAGGCCCAAGAGATCACTCTTCTGGGCTCCAGCCAAGTTGGAAAGTGCAAAATAAGAAAGCAATACCTTGGGGTGCCTGGATGGCTCAGTGATTGAGCGTCTGCCTTTGGCTCAGGTCGTGATCCTGGGGTCCTGGGATCGAGTCCTGCATTGGGGCTCCCCGCAGGGAGCCTGCTTCTCCCTCTGCCTGTGTCTCTGCCTCTCTCTCTCTGTCTCTCATGAATAAATTAAATATTTTTTTTTTAAATAAGAAAGCAATACCCATTTACAGTGCATCAGGGACACGAAATACCTCTCTGTGGAAAACCATAAGAATACCTGAAGGTAGACTGTTCATGAATCCCAAGTCTCAGCGTTGGTAAGATGTCAGTTCTCCCCATGGTGACCTACACAGTTAATGGTATTCCAATCAAAATCCCAGCAGACTGTTTTTTGTTTTAGAATTTGACAAAGTCATTATACGATGTTTATGGAAATAAAGAGGATCTAGAATAGCCAAAACTATCCTGGAAAAGCACCAAGTGGCAGATCTCACACTATCTGATTTCAGGCTTATGGTGAAGCAGCAGTCATCAGACAGCGTGGTTTAGTGTAAGAACCGACATAGAACAACAGAACAGAATAGAGAATCCAGAAAGACACCCACAAGACCGTGGTGCCGGAATAATTCAGTTAGGATTGGATAGTCTTTTCAGTCAATGGTCCCAGAAAATTGGAAGTTCCAGATGAAAAAATAAACCTCAGCTCTCATATCCTATACAGAGATCAGACCAAATGGACAATCTACTTTAAAGGTGTTAACTGGAACTATAACACTTCTAGAAAGAAACATAAAAAAAAGATACCTTTGTGGGGCACCTGGGTGGCTTAGTTGGATAAGCATCTGCCTTTGGCTGAGGTCATGCTCCCAGAGTCCTTGGATCAAGCCCCGTGTGAGGCTATCTGCTCAGTGGGGAGTCTACTTCTCTCTTTCTGTGCTCATTCTCTCTCTCTCTCTCTCTCTCTCTCTCTCTAATAAAAAATTAAAAAAAAAAGCCTTTGTGACTTTGGGTCAAGCAGAGACAACAGGGAGGGTCCTCACCACAAAAGGAAGGATGGACAAATTGGACTAGGTCAAAACTAAGAGCTTCTATTCCTCAAACGACAGTGGTGAGAAAGACAAAACATGAGAAAAATCTTTCTACATCCTATATCTGAAATTGGACGTGTGTCGTCCAAAAAACATAATGAACACTAACACCACCCAATAAAAAATAGGCAAAGGACTCAGACGCTTTACCAGAGGAGATGTACAACGACAAGCACATGAAGAGGACGTGCCATGTCCTGAGTCAGTGAGACACAAATTCAAACCACAGTGAGATACTACCTCACACTTATTGTAACAGTTAAAATGGAAAGAATGGATTGCATCCGTGTCGGGGCGGCATTGGGCAAATGGAACTCATACGTGTGGCTGGGAATGCAAAGTGGTACAGGCACTTTGGAAAACATTTTGACAGATTTTTGTTTAAAGATCTTATTTATTTATTCATGAGAGACACACAGAGAGAGGCAGAGACACAGGTAGAGGGAGAAGCAGGCTCCATGCAGGGAGCCCGATGTGGGACTTGATCCCGGGACCCCAGGATCACACCTTGAGTGTGAAGGCAGATGCTCAACTGCTGAGCCCCCAGATGCTATCACGTGCTGGTGGTTGCACACATTTGTCACACATTTTAAAATGAATTTTCTTGTGTGCAAACCATATTTCAGTTAAAAAAAAGTTAAATTGAGATGCCTGGGTGGCTCAGTCAGTTAAGCGTCCAACTCTTGATTTCAGCTCAGGTCGTGGGGTCTGCTTGAGATTCTTTCCCCCTCCCCCTCCTTGCCTCTCCCCCTCTACTCCTCCCCCTGCTTGTGTGCGCATGCCCTCACTCTATCTCAAAATAGATAAGTAAGATCTTTTAAAAAATGTCAAATCACTGAACCAAGGCAATGGGAGACACGCTGTCCACCCTGGGTCCCTGAGGACAGGCTGCACTGTGTTCCTGGTGGAAAATGTCTCCCCTCCCCCAATCAGACGGGGATTCACCGGATTCACAGCATCGCCGTTTACCACCTGGGAGGACTTGGGGAAGTCATTTTACCTCTCTGGGACTTAGACCCTCTCATCAGCAAAATAGGCGTAATTCTTACCTATCAGATTGCTGATCATTATGTAAGGTGCTAAGTGCTGTGTCTGGCACAGAAGTGCTTTATAAGTACTAATTATTCCTTATAATTGTTAACATATTTGACTCTGCCTACCAAAGCTGTAGGCTGCCAGCAGGGCAGTTCTTTCTGCATTTGTGCTTTTCTCTCCCTACCCCTTGCCTCAGCAAAGAGAGCAGCCAGGCCTCCGGGACTCCCTGCTGCCCTGGCCCTGGCTGGCATGATGCAGGACAGCACTTGGAAGGCCAGCCAGGGCTGCTCAGACTGAGCCTTCCTCTCC